TCTCGTGCTTTCTCCATGATCCAGCGAATGTTGGCGATTTGATCTCTAGTTCCTCTGCCTCTTCGAAACCCAGCTTGTACATCCTGGTCTATATGATCCCGGATCTATTAAATCTTTATCCATCTTTGGAAACAGTACAATTAACAATTGTTCCCATGATGATGGAATCTTATCTCCTTCTATTACTCTATTATATAGTACCTTTAGTTTAGGTATCAATAAATGTTTAAATATTTTGTAATATTCTGGTACCAATCCATCTACTCCTGGGGATTTCCCCCCTTTTAATTTGTTGATAACTTCTTCAATTTCTATATCCAATACTGGTTGTTCCATCACCCTCCTATCATCCTCCTGCAATTTTATTGTCCAATATTTCCTTATATATTCTCTAATCTTCCCCATGGGTTTACCCCTTGAGGAATATAATTCCTGATAAAAGTCTTGGAAGTCTCCTATTTTATACATCCAATTATAGCTTTTTCCCGTTTTATCTTTAATCGTTCCAATTAGATTCCTTGCCTTTTTTGATTGTGCGGACCTGGCCAGCATTTTAGAATTTTTATTACTATACTCAAAAAAATCCCTTTTCAAATATATTAAATTTCTCTGCACCTTCTCCATATCTTTATTCTCCAACTCCTTCCTCTTTGCTTGTAATCGTGCAAATATCTTTTTGTCTCTTTTATGTATTTCCACTCTCTTTAATTTTTTCCTTCAATCTTTTCTCATCCTCTTCCTGTTGCCTTTTCAATACACATGATTCTCTAATACAGATTCCTCTCATTACTGTTTTCATTGTATCCTATAATGCCACTTGTGTACATTGTCCTGTATCATTAATTTCCCATTTTCCTTGCCATTCTTTTCCAATTTTATCCACAACATGCTTATAATTTAAAATCTCTGTATCTAACCTCCACCTCTTAGCTTCTTTTTAGTCTTTCTTAATTTTAATATCCATATTAACCAACGCATGGTCTGTAACCTTAATAACCTCTATTTCAGTATTACTTTAGGAATTAAATTTTTAGATATAAAAATATAATCTATTCTTGAGTAGGTCTTAAACACTGACGAATAAAAAGTAAGTTTATTTTCTTCTGCTCGTACTATTCTCCAAACATCCTTCAACTCATTTCTATTCATAATCCAGGTTAAATCAGTAGTTTTATTATGACACTCATCTACAGAGGGGTTAGATTTGTCTTTCTGTTTATCCATCACCATATTAAAATCTCCTGTCATTGCAATATAACCCTTCTGGAAATCCTCCATATCTTTAAACACCTTCTCATAAAACTGCCTCTGTTTCACATTCGGGGCATAAATATTTACCAAAGTATATTCCTCTCCCCCCAATT